TTAAGCAAGCTCAGAGATCCAATACGTATAGAAAGATCAAGGACAAATTGTCAAATGAACAAATAGCAGTATTACTCGATGTGGATGTTCCAAACGAGAAGGCAAATAGGAATAAGCGAATTCACAAATAGAATGAGAGGAATGAATAATAGGATATGGTTAGTATTTGCGGATTCGTTAAAATCTATATATACATATACGAGTAGTATAAATCGAAGCTGCAAGTATCTGCGCTTGCAACGTATAAGGTTTACAGGGTGGTAGCTACTTAGATTGGAGATGCAAGACAGACTGTAAATGTACCAAAGGAGATAAAGTCATGTACGTCTACAGACATGATACAGTCGATCTCCATAGTTGGATCGGAATGAGGAACGAAGGTCGTTCAACAGAATAGGATTTTTTTTCCACAAAGCTGGGTAAGGGCTGTAAACGGGTTACCGTAGGACCCGCAATCCAGTTGCACCTATCAAGTACAGTCCCTGCGACGGGGTTACTATCCAACTATGTTTATAAGAGGTTGGACTGTAATGGAATGTTAAATTTGACTACAGTGCATTCATTGGGAGTTGACGACTGACGTAACGCAAGATACGATTTCTATAGGATCGTAAACGTGTACAGAGTACAGTTTATAGAATAACGTGATACATTATAGCAAATCAAATATATAGGAATATCCTGTACGTGGGTGTAGTTGACAAATAGAAAATGGTGAAATTGCGAAATTGATATCCAGACGATGGCACTTGGTATCTTATTCGCCTGAGGTGGGGACAGCCTCTTGAAAGGACAGAACAGTGTGTACTATAGCTTGGATGGTACTCTCGTCTATTATTCTTTTCTTAGGATCAACGTGCGGGGAGGGACCCAAAGCTGGCGAGGATATCGAGGGCGCAGGGTGAAGAGAGAGCGAGAGGGAGGAGAGCCGATAGGGATGAAATAAAAAGAGGAGGAAGAAGGGGCGAGTGTCTCAACGTTAGAAAATTAGTTGCGGATGAGAGCGTTGTAAATAAAGAACCTGGAGGGGAATAAATAAATAAAAAAAAGAGAAAAGAAAAAAAAGAGAGAAAAGGAGTCTGGACGCGGAATGCTTATCTATAATGAAATCTTAGACAATATTTTCATCGCAGTGAAAGATGTCTTGTCGACGCTCTCGTTTTTCCTCTTTCTATTCTGAAAGTCCCTGTTGCCACGAACCATCCCCTGGTTTGGCCAGGTCGACGGTTGACGGTACCAGGTCGGCTGAAACTTCAGCGACTATCCCGTCCATTCGTTTCATCGCTTCGCGCAGTTTCTCGTTTTGTCCCGTGAGCCAAATTGAATTTCGCGCCATGTTTTTCCCTCATTTTCTTCACTTTGAGCTGAAGTCGCTACCGGACGCTGTTACCAGCCCGCCAGGCGTCTCTATCTTTCTCTTCCCCCCGAAGACACAGGGACAGGGTGATTCGTCTTCCGCAGAGCATTATTGTCCTTCAGGATTGCCAACTGCCAGGGTAAAAGGAAGCCGCAGCAACCCGACCGCTAACCGGCACCTTCTTCGAGGTAGGATACACTCCACTCCTTATCACCTCACGTAAGGGATGGTTCCGTAGTGACGTTGTCGTAGCCAAGACCCTAGACCAGTTCTCTACTCTCGTTAACCCTGGTAAGGACGTCTGGAGTCGCCACTTTTCATAGACCTCGGTGCAAGCCCATCATAAATATAAAAGGTCACGACAGTGACAAAGACGTCTACGGGGTTGGGCTTTGAACATCTTTGACCAGGGTGGTTGGGGTCTGGTGTAACATTTCAGCCCCTTCCGAAGCGATACTAACCCCTTGAGTCAAGGCTGGATTCGAGAAAGAGTGAATTCCCGTGTTGGCTTCGCAAACATCTGTTACGCGTCAACGTGGACCGACGCGAGTCAGCTTTGTAGGACTCTGTACTTATTTCTGGATATAATAAATGCTGATTTATGTACATGTTATTTTGGGGGTGAAGCGGAGACACGAAATTACAGGTACTCATTACTATGTATGAATGTAATAAGATAATGCCTCAAAAAAACTTTATTATGTCGTTAATTAAAATTCATATCAACATTAATAAGATACTAATATGTGTCTCGTAAGGTCGTGCTTGATCATATGTATTTCTGGGTATAAAATAAATATTTATTAATTAAAGGATATCTCTCTTGTTTTTCTACAAGATATCTTGGCTTCGTAAGAAAAGCTGTCTATGAATGTTACGGGGTAAGAAGAACTCACGACGCGAGTCAAGCCAGAAACTGTACAGGAAGTAACTATCGAGCGGAGCATACCCTTCGGTTTCGTGTCGCTTCGCTCAATTACACAAAAGCACTTTGCGAGACATCACAGATTTCTCCAGTTCCGTTATCTGGATCGGAATCAAAGTTACCGAAGGGTTAACGTAAGAGTCAGGGAGAATGCGGGTGGACTTTGATATCCGGATTTTGAAGTCAAAGCCAAAGTAAGTGACAGACCAATCAATTAAAAATTTAAACAATCAATCAGCAATCTTAGACTAACGTCTACATAATAACTATAAAAGTTGACATCATTCAAGAATTTTTACTTATTTAATCTATTTTTATCTGATGAAAGATATTTGTCTGTTTCACAGGTTTATCTCGTTTTTCAGTTTTCTCCTGATGTCCCAGCAACGTTTTTATGCCTATCTGGAGTACAGCATCCGGGTGTCGTAAGGTAAGATTGGAGGCATGGGTATCATGTAAAAATTGAAAATAGTGAAAAATTTTAAGTGTAAACTTTTATCAAGCTACAGTGAGCTTTTTCGTAAGCTCCAGTCTCTATGTAAGTGTGTGTTCTATATGTCTGTCTCGTTTAGCTCGTTTCGGGTCGCCGAGTTACAAACGGATGTAAAGCTCTTTTGGGAAAGCCCAGTGAATTTCGCAGTTTTCCCAAGAGGAAGTTATTAGAAGCTTTCGGTTAAAAAAGAAAGAGAAAGACAAGCGAAACGAAGTCGACGTAAAAAGTTTTGCGATTTCATGCAATCGGACATATCGGTCGGTCACTGGTGTCTGACTAGTCTCTTACGTGACTACTTGTATACCAGACCGACTACTTGCTGTGTACTGGCCCAATGTCTGACTTGAGTTGTACTTGACTTGCCCCGCCTTGCCGTCGCTGGTGCGCCGGCTCTTTCTGGAAAACTTTTTACGGGAAAAAGGAAGTCGGAAAATCAAACTTACGCTGCGGCTCTCGTGCAGCTTCTGTGTGACACGGAAACTCTTCGGCACCGCGACGAACTTCGTCAAGATGTCGCTCGGTAGAATTTTATGTTTCTTTCGAAAGGTGGCTTTGAGTTTTGCGAAATATATTCGTATCCGAAAAGCCTCGTTGCATTTGCATTTTCGATCTCGGGTTATAAAAGTTGCGCATGGATTTATCGTATCTATTTAATTCAAAAGTAATTTACATAATATGTAATACAATAAAAAGCTTCGTGATTGGACGATTTGTTCCCATCGAACGCATCCTACGAAAATATCTGTTTTACCGACAGATCTATCTCTGTTTTACCTACGGTCGATAATCATTGTAGATTTCTTACTGGGTATCGACTGTGCACCAAAAAACTATGCATAGAATGCTGTAACACCATTAGGCCCAATTAGGCTCTTGTTTGGCGTTATTGAGGCATCCGTATTCATTTATTAAGTCCTGTTAATGCCTAACTAGGCCCTAGTCGGTATAGGTGTCCTGAAGAGGCCCGAAAAATGCCTGGTTAGGCATTAACAGGATAAGCCTCAATAAATTAATATCGATACTCCGATAAAGCCCAACTAGGGCTTAATTAGACATAATTTTGGAAAACCATAATGAAAGAATGCCCCATCAACTAAAAAATTATTATTACCTTTCGAAAAGTATAGTTACGTAATAAGACAATTACCCTCGTTAGTGAAATCCATTTCCAAATAGATCAGGTTACTTAGGCTTTTCTTCACAGTTTGAAACCTTTTGAGCTTTTGTATCATTGTCATAGATACAAGTCCCTAGGGAGAACAAAAGTCACTAAAGGGTCCTTCCGTTGGCAGAACTGAATCGATAGCGGCTGTCCTTTTCTTCGCGCGTCCTGACGAGCTTGCGCACGCATTTCACTGAAACTCGAGCTTTGCAGACATTCCAGCATTCGGGCCGTATTACACTAGCGACAGAGTGCATCAACGAAGGATTACTTTATAAAGCGATAGATATCCCTGAATATTATATACGCGTCGTCGTACCTTTGAAAACTACGGTTGAGCTTTAATTTCCCCTTCAACTTCTAAATCTGAAAGCTTGACATTCGTTCGTTTACTATATCTCATCTGTCATTTAATTAGTTAAACTTGCTTTTAGCTAATGAAAGAGATACAATCGACCTTAAAGCTCCGAGTGCACTGAAATTTAACAGGACTCCTGAAAGGGTATCAACAAAATACGGTTATTTTTCGAAATATTAAAAATGAAAGTTCTAGATAGATGTCTCATTGAAAACGAAAAACGTTACGTCATATCATACGAAAGATTAACTCTTTGCGGTCGTATTTATCTCAAACGTGAGTATTTTGGTGGGTGTGAGCAGAGACAGCTAAGGGTAAAAAAAATTAATTAACAGAAACATACAAGCATTACTACCCTTAGAAAAATCCACACTTGGCAAAGCACCGTTTCAAATTGTAAATTAAGCTAATGGTGGGTATGGCCTGGAAAAGTTCGCAACGTAAAACTAACCATTCTGTAAATCCTGTCTAGGCCACTGTCCATTCCTTAATCCAAAGTAGAAAACTCCTAACCATAAAGGTCGAGCTTTTCGATTCTATCCATTATCATTCCACGAGTAAAAAGCTCTCAGCATCCCAGGATCCAAGACGGTCTTGGTACGCGCAAGTGTAACCCGGAGAATCGACCGGAGGACAAGGGAGAGTGGAGTCTCTCCCCTTTCGGTCGGCGAGAGCTTGCGGAGCTTTTCATTCCCGTATCACAGTTCGTCACGCGAACGTCGAGACGCGAGCTTCGAATTGGTGCGTGCAGTGATTCTGGGTTAGTCAAATGCAAGTAGCGTTCAGTGACATGGCGCGTATCGACGTCAAAAACATTTATGATTAAGCTCCGATCGTTGAGACTGAACGAAAAAAAGTCAAAAAATGAAATAAAAAAAATTCTACGTCAAACTGTCGCGAAACAATTACGTGGACGTAAAAGCGACGCGCGTGACCTGAAAAAATTGCTGGTAAAATAGCGGCAAAAAAGGGAAACAAAAAGAAAGTCGAAGTGAAAAAGTAAAGAGTTTCAGAGACACGGATTGTGCGCGAGTGTTAAAAAGTCCGAAAGCTCAACTCTACCGAGGAATGTTCCAAGCCGGTGAACGCTTTCATGTGAACAAAGTCACGAAAATTGAGTAAGCTCGTCCAGAGCTTTTCAAGTGTATGATCGTAGGCCAAGTTGATTTTACCAAGAGAACGTCTGGGATGAATATTCACAAGCAAGAATATATTACTGCAATGATAGGATAATGTGAACGTCTCGTAATTCCTGACACTTTTTATCTTACATTCATCGAAGGTGCATTCCTGACTTAACCCATAAGTACCGACTGGATGATTTCCACCACTTAATATCCGTCGTACATAAACGGCTCTTCGTATAAATTACACGTGTGAAATAATTCCTTGTACCGCGTTAACGATGAACCCGACGCTTTTCTCGCGTGATGAAACTTGAGTGACAACGAAATGATCACTGATCATTTTCATCCAAAGGATCCGCTGAAAGGTTAAACGTAGATTGTCGTGCATATCTTTGGCGAATGAAAAATCATAAAAATTTTCGAGTGTTCACAAATCCCACTGGCCGCGTAAGATCATGAGACCAAAAATTGACTCATGCACCTATAAACTCATCTACGTGGATCGAGTATGCAGATAAAAGTGAAACAGTTGGAAGGAATACGTGAAAACTGGTGCAACTTTTTTTTTTCAAGGTCATGGAAGTCCTATGAGAAATCATTAACAATTTACATAGAAATCATAGCACGACTGGACAAGTGTACATGAGAACCACTTAACCTTCGTTATATTGGTATTAAACAAAATTTTAGTGAATTTTATAATTGGATAATTGTTCCCTTTTTTTGGGATCCACCGAGTGTGACAACTGTTACCAATTTTCAGTGACCATTATTGATATCGTGAAATAAATACAGATTCCATCATAAAATGATTATCCATCGATTGGATATATGTGCGAATATTGTTTATTCCAAGTACACAAAAAAGTCATATTGTGGAGTTATATAAAAAAAAAAGCATAATAAAATAATAATAATGAAATGTGCAGCACTATACGTGGAGACCTGCCCAACTACAACGGTAAGTCTCCCAGATTGGGTCAAGTTCCTGCTTTACATTATCAACCCAACCCTAACCTAACCTAACCAAACAATTCTCTACGGAGTATAGCTTATATTCCAATTGACGTAATAATCTCAGCCAGTAATTTATTTCTGGTAAATCTTTCAAGTCGTCGTACGTCACTTACGTCCACGTATGCAATCGCGTCGATTTATGGTGACTAGGTCGAAAGAAAATAACGTTGCTGAATTTATCGCATAGTTATGCTTAATGTAACGAGGTCACTGACGTGGACCGATCGGATATAAAAAAAAAAAAAAAATTCCCATAAGAAATGTTCCGCTTCTCATTTTTGTTGTACCCCCATTAATTTCCATAATAGATGCTAGAAACTGTCCGAGACACACAGTGTCGCTTCATGGAGACAGAGACTCGTGGCATTAATGCTAGAAGATAGAATTCACCGTAAAATCTTTTCGTTCCCAGCTCGATCTATACATCATTTCCAGTACTTTGTTCCTCGTTAAGAAAATCGTATACCTTGTAAACTTTTTACGTGGTCCTACGCCACTGCCAAAGTGTAGCCAATTACCGTCCTTTCGGTTGGAAAAGTATTTCAAAGCTTTCACGGAAGTGCCTTAAACTTTTGTTTCAACTGCGAGTTATTATAATTATTTTCATACTTTTCTCAACCGCTAAGCAGGATATATATATTAATATACGATACAACAATATATATATATATACACACGCGCACTCGTTTGTACGCATATCTTACTATATTGTATGTCTATATATCAAAACTGCATATTTCTGACTAAGATATTTCCACTTTGGCAACTGTGCTTTTCACGTTGCTCCATGCTCTCTCACTTGCACTATTCACAATACATCCAAGGAATACCTTATAAGCATCGCTGCGTCGTAATACGTAATACTTGTTTTTATTACTGATATAAAATTATTAATAGGTCGCATAAATTATATTTTTGGAAAAAAAAATCTTATCGGAGCATTCGTCCAATAGACGAAATCGATCGACGCCTTCGTGGCGACGTAAGAGTAAAACGTAGGTGATTTCTCAAAATCAACATTTCCCACGATATAAAGGCAAGATTGCGTCAGGGAGCTGTCACAGTGTCACTCAGTTTAAAACGAATCGTGAGGCTCCACGTAAACCTTCCTCACTGAATTTTCGCTTGCATTGAATAGCGTTGACATTGTTATCCAATAATAACGTGTCTTTGTTTCGATCCCGTCTCTTTTATGTCCGATAAAAGTTTCCTTCAGCCAATTACAGGAGCGTTTAACTCGATGACGGCGTGACCGGGAAACGAATGAGAGTGCCACTTGTTCAGCGCGGGAATTTCAAACGCGTCAATAGGGGCCTAGGTAAATGTATAAGAGTCAACCAGTTACAACCTTTAACTCGATGGAGAATTTTCGCGAATGGCAAATCCTTGAATACAGATAACGATAAAGTATCAAACTATTAATTACAATCGCGATTTAAACTTGTCAAATATCGTCGATATAACTTATACGTAAATTCCGAGCACAGATATCGTATGCGAAAATTTATAATACCGTCAGCAACACCGTTGCTATTGCTAATGTTGCCGCAGCATACGAAAGTTAGGTGAATTAAACAAGCTGCCAAGTAGATTAGAACTTTGCCAATATTTAATTCGCGCGTTTTATCGTGACATTAAAATATTTTAATGCTTCATCCTTATAACAAGATTTTACAAAGCGTGAATTGCCGACAGAATTTCAAAGAACCCAAAGTACTAGTTGAGTTTAACATCGACTCACGTGTATCCGTATAAATATCACGAACCAATGCCATACCGCGTAAAATAAAAATACCAATGGCAAATAGATTGGATATTTTTTTAGGAGTTTCCAAAAGTTTCAAAAGTGACAGAGCAATACGCAATTCTATAACGATCCAAGACTAGTCCACGTCCGAAATAACATAGGGAGGTACAAGGTATAAAATTCGACTTTGAGAATGGTCGGTGAATACAGAAAGGAATATTCTTATTAGCAAAGTGGATACAGGGAATATATAGTATACAATATGTATGTATATGGTATCTATGCTAAGCCTAAACTTTGACCCGAATATTTAAATTGTCCATATCCCGTCTAAGGGATTAGTTTGAGGACAGTCGAGAGTAGAAATCGATATGGGAGTATCGTATAAGATTCGCAAGAGTACAAGTTGACTAAGGGGAACAAGGACGGAATTTCAAAAGTGCACCTTTCCCATTTGCAAGAACGTCTGGTTCGCGAGACAGATTCGTGTTTCAAACAAACTAGGATGGAAGCAATATGCATTTTATAATATCCGGTAGGACGGGCACCGAGAGCGAGAGGATAAAGTTGGCTGAGCTATGATTATGGCAGAAGAAGACGTGCTTCGGGATGAGGCGAAGGGTAAAGGGATGAAGTAACGGGACGGATGCCGGGCGTCTATCTCTGCCGTTGAAACACCATCGAACGAAGGCTTCTTACTCCAGCCAAGAAGTCAGAATGCATTTCATCAAAACTTGCTGCTCCCGAGTCACGAGTCACCGCAGCCGCGATTCACTTCACTGTGGCGAATGGGAACTTCAATTTTAAAGGCTCGCACAACTCGACTCGCTCGGATGTGTGCTCAGGCTAGAAGTTTAATCGCAGAAGCAGACATCCGGTACGGAGAAATGTTGCTACCATTCGCTATTATCTGTTTCGAAATACATATACATATACGTCTGATCCTTTGACGCGGCTGATTATTTGTTGCTGTGTGGCAATTGAAGTCGGTCCATCCAATTGAGGTGCACTAATTAGATCTGATAGCTCTGACGTAATATCTTGAATAAAGCAGCCCAGGACGACGTTGGATCATTGCACTGATAGGATTTGACTGAATGGCAGATACATATCAAAAGATCTGATAGAGCCAAGTATACGCGGTTATTCCAGACTATTGACACCGTCTGAAGGTGACGTGTCTATTTGATTCCTATCGATTTCTATCGATTCGTATGGTAGATTTATCATCGGTTGGTAAAACAGTTTTGAACAAATCCTAAACCAACGTTACGTGTAAAAGTAAGGTTCGTTGGCTCAAACATGAATTTTTGGTCAGATTGAAAATTGCGAATTTGGAATCTGACAAAAAATTAATTTAATTATTTTTTTCATGATTATTATTTTTTGATTTTTCGTAATCCACTTGTTTGATACTTTGTACGATTTTTTTCTTAATTTTTGTTTACTTCACAGCTCGGAGTTTCAAGTGAAATTGCTACGCATTGCGAACACGGTTTTGCGAATGCACACAGTGTTGGCCAAGTACGGAAAGTTGTCGGCGCGAATAAGGCTGGTTGAAATCTCAACAGCAATTAAAATGCAAATACAAGAAGGACTTAACGAGGATGTAAGGAAAACAGTGATTCCACGGTTGGTAGTAGAAGGCTTGAGAATGTTCTCTGCGTGTCCTGAGGATAGCTCGGAGAGGGAGGTTAGGGCTGCTATCATGAGCAGTAATAAAGAAGGGTAGATACAGTAGTTGGTACAGTAGTAACAGTGGTAGACAATTATTTTCGCAACATTATTTCCGAGTCTCGGCAAATGAACGTTCCGACTGCGACTGGAAGGGTAGTAACAGCCCCGTGATGGTCCCCTGTCAAATAAGTTGAAAGCTTTATGAAAATGAAGCGACATGGAGGAACGGGTAGGTGACTTGACCGAAGGCAAAGAAAATTTCGAAAAATAATCCAAAAGCCAGTACACATTATTCTTACTACTTACTGAAATGGACTGTGACTAAAATATGGAAGATATCAGCAACCTATTATGAATCTTAGATATCAAAAAGAAAAACCGGTCCGATAAGGACATTTGGACTTTTTCTATGTCCGAATAATTTTTTTTTTAAATTCATAGTATCTCATAGTAAAATATTATTATATTAATATATTATCAACCGTCTTTAGGGTGAAACAAAAAATTCGCGAATTCATCCTGTGACTGATTCTGAAATTCAATCCCTAAACCTATCGACTGCGTCACAATTTCTAACCCTGGAACTAACCAGCGAAATTAAACATTTAAAGAGGCGACATTCTACGACGCGAATTTCGTCATTGTATATGAGAAACCCACGAGCGCTTACGTTAATGTAATTCCCTACTGAAGTATGTGCTCCAGGTGGTTGCAGCGAGTCATACACATTTTGCACTACGGAGACGGAATTATATTAATTGGAAGGCGACGCACAATGGGATCCCATTTATTTGAAACTATGTCCACAAAATTTGAATCCCTGTACGGAGCACGAAACTCGGTAATGTTTCTCCCGTAATACATTGTAACTTAGATATGGCTTCCTCCTTAGTTCAAAACCAAGGGTGCTTGAAAGCTTGCTAAATGTCCCACGACTTATTAAATTCACCTAAATCTTATTAAAACGAAAAACACATTTTTCACTACCCACCCTAACGGCAATTTTGAGTAATTACAATAATCGATATAAATTTTCAAAATACATCGATCGAAATTTTCAATCTGAATTCTCAATGCATTTACGATAAATGCAACAATTGGCCAATGCTTAAAGTCACCGTTGGGTTTCCAGAAAAGCTACGCGTGTTTCCCCGCACAGTGGTATCTTGCAAGCGTAAAATAATGCTCCCACAAAATTTCTCTAGTGGCGAAACAATTGACTCTGGCGAAACTACGAAATATAAGAGTATAAGAAAGTTTTTCTATAAATCAAACGGGCCCGCATAAAAGACTTCGCTGAAAGAAAACAGCCATTCGTTCGTTCGCCACGTGGCGAGGGGAATGCTGGGAACAGGATGGATCCAAAGGGCCAAAGAGGGACTAGATTTCGCGAACATGGAAATTTAGCAAACACTTCAGTTCCGCGATTCTTCCCCATAGTGATTAATGCGTTGAATGCAAATTCATTTGTCATTCGCATCCATTATTTTTTTTTTTTGGAACCCTTTAGTGCACCGCAT